CAAACAAAGAAATGCTAAATTTACTGACCTCATAAAACAAATAACGGAGTTAACCCACGCGAACAAACTAAACCCTTCCCCAACGCACTACAAAACCCTTACAACTTTACAAATGCAATTAAGGGACATAGAGACGGAGAAAACTAACTACATTTTACACAAACATCGACATAAATTTTTTGCACATGGTAACAAATCTGGCGCTGTGCTTGCAGCTAAGCTTAGAGAGCGCCTACCGAACTCCAAAATAGCCTACCTACTGACAGCTGACAAACAAAAAATCCTACACCCGCAACATATTGTAGACGAATTTGCAAAGTACTACGGTACTTTGTACAATCTCAAAGAGGCAGAGGGTACACACGTCCCCACTCCCACCCAGATTCAGGATTTTCTATCCAAAGTAAACCTACCTACTCTCACAGACGAGGAAATAGTACAGATCACAAGCACATTCACAGACTCAGAGGTGGCTGCAGTGATAACTAAATTGCCTACACATAAATCTCCGGGTCCCGACGGTTTTACGAACCTGTACTACCAAACATTTACAAAGGCACTACTCCCACATATGACACAGCTTATAAATCATTGCTACACCAATGGTTGTATGCCGAAAGAGATGCTTCAGGCGCATATTTCCACATTACCAAAGCCAGGCAAGCCTGCCAATATATGCCCAAATTTCAGACCCATATCCCTCTTGAACTGTGATACCAAGATTTATGCAAAACTGATAGCAGAGAGACTGAAAGAAATACTGACGCGTATTGTCCATAATGACCAATCAGGTTTTGTTAAGCAGAGACAAGGGTCTGACAACACTAGAAAAATACTAAATATTTTAGCTCATATGGAAACCCATCATATGGAAGGTCTTCTCCTCGCGCTAGACGCGGAGAAGGCCTTCGACAGACTAAATTGGCTTTACATGGAACAAGTATTGCTTAAATATGGTTTCCCGCCATCCTTTATCAATGGAGTCATGGCGTTGTATAAACAACCCTCAGCTAGAGTTACAAACGCAGGCTTTATCTCGAGCCCATTCAATATCACGAATGGGACAAGGCATGGATGCCCACTATCACCCCTTTTGTTTGTACTCTCCCTCGAACCCCTAGCACACATAATCAGAAACCACGATCATATTAAGGGCGTACGGGTGGGATCCGATGAATTTAAATTGGCTATGTTCGCTGATGACATTTTCATAACCCTAGCAGATCCGGATGACTCCCTGTCCCGGCTCCTGGGCGTTCTCGAGGAATACAGTAGGGTCTCGTATTATAAACTTAATCAGTTAAAGACCCAAGCCCTACCTATCAGGTTACAAACGGTGATGGTACAATCATTGAAACACAAGCACAAATTTGACTGGAGAACTACCCACATAACATATCTGGGAGTGAAAATAGCACCCACACTTAGAGGAATTAGCACACTCAACTTTTCCTCGCTCCCACAACTATGCCAACAATCTTTGCACAAATGGAAAGATGTGTGGTTATCCTGGCTTGGGAAAATTAATGCTGTAAAAATGGTGATTCTTCCCAAGCTTTTATATATATTTAGGATGCTCCATCTCCCCTTGTCCACCACAATAGGCAAACAACTACAGCGGCTAATAAACAATTATATTTGGGAATATAAGAGACCACGCCTCCCGAATACACTGCTACAAATTCCGGTGAACAGGGGAGGGACAGGTCTCCCTAATATTGTACTTTACCACAAGGCTGCACTACTAGAAGCAGCAATTAAACTACATGCCCCCTCACATACATTCCAATGGGTGGACATGGAGAATGAGTATTCTCCTTGTTCATCAGTGGTAGACGTACTGTGGACGCCCAGACACCTCAGGGATAAGAACACCCCAATGCTCCCTACCTCTAGACTCACACTCCAAATGTGGGATTACCTCCATAAACGACATACGAACACTACAAAATTTTCTTCATGGGCTCCGATAACAACGCTACATTCCATCTCTCAGTGGTTATCTTTACATAAATGGAAAGACAAGGGCATCACTCACATCACAGATATATGTCACCAAGGGACCATTTTACCCTTCCCTGATATCCAACTCAAGTACACTCTACCGCCCAACTACATATTCCCATACCTTCAACTCAAAAGCATAATTAAAGAAAAGGTACAAACCCCAACCCAACATGCTACCGCCCCAAACCTTGATCTTATCGCTATATATAATAGGTGTCAAAAAACACCAATAAAGGCTAAAGCTTTATCCCTTGGGTACGCCGCCTTAGGACAAAATCCCCCACTGACGAATTTTACCTTTGCACTCCAATGGCATAAAGAAGGATTTCCACAGCTCACTAATGCTCAGTGGCTAAGATCACTTGGGGCACTCAAAGGCGTTACCTCATGCTACACCCATATAGAGGCACATAAGAAACTTATGTATCGGTGGTACCTCACACCTCACAAATTACAAAAAATTTACCCAGCCACCACAAACACATGTTGGCGATGCACTAACGACATAGGGACGATGAGGCATATATGGTGGGACTGCCCAGATATCTCCCCACTGTGGACTGAAGTCCAACGACTGGGAAATTCTTTAGGAATAATGAAGGGAATTCTAACACCTACTATTGGTCTGTTCCTATTGTTGCCTGCTCAAATTTCTGCACAGGACAAACAACTACTGATTATGCTAATAATGGCAACGCGCAATCTCATTGCATGCCACTGGAAACAACAGCTATGCCCGACTCCACAGCAATTACTCCACAAAACACAACAGTATCTGAGACATGAGATACTGACTACATCGACACCTAATCGTAGAACTATCACGCATAATAACTGGCAACGTTGGATCAACTACACAACCGACAGTCAGACCCCAGGGTAACTTATCATAAACACATAGGCCATTATACATGCCGAGACGGCCTTAAGCACAAACATGATGTACGACGCACGACCTACAACAGAATGGATACATATTTGTAGATGTTAATGAATGCTCAAGGTACTAGTTCTGCAGCTAATTATTTGTAATTACTACATTGTAACTATCTAATACTTGTGGATACCCCCCCCCTTCTTCCTTTCTGTACCCCACATGGTTGCTTTGAAAACGCAATAAAATACGAATTTGAAAAAAAGAAATATATCCTTCGTGGGACACATCCTGCATTGGTTGTTGTTTTGTTTTGGTTTTTCACCTGTTTCAACATCCACACATCTGTATTAGTGTGTGCTGGTTTCACTAGTGGTCAGGATAGGACGGCTTACACAACGGATTACTATGAATGACAGCTGCAAACAGTACTTCAAAACAAGTGTATTATACAGGCGCACTCCGTACTGGTCAATTGGACACCTTTCAAACCTGCCTTGGTATTTTTTTGGACTCATCTTTCACTTTATCTGCCCACATATAGTCTGTCTCCATGTGTTTATCATTTCTTGCCATGAATACTGCAATACATTCTCATATAAAAGCCGATATTTCCCCACTACTATCTGTTGTTTCTGGGGTTGTCCTTTTTCAATGCACCACTGGAAATATGAAAATTGCCAGTAGATGGCGGTTACAGACCACTATCTACTGTTTTAAATAGTATAACAAATTTCTAAGATCAGAATTGTTATTAGCAGTGGGTGACTTTAGGGTTGGGTCTAGGGTTAGTATTGGAAATAGGGTTATATTTAGGGGTAAGAGTAAGGTATGGTTAGTGTAAGGGTAGGGTTGAGTGTGCTAATTCCTCTAAGTGTGGGTGCTATTTTCACTCCCAGATATGTTATGTGGGTAGTTCTCCAGTCAAATTTGTGCTTGTGTTTCAATGATTGTACCATCACCGTTTGTAACCTGATAGGTAGGGCTTGGGTCTTTAACTGATTAAGTTTATAATACGAGACCCTACTGTATTCCTCGAGAACGCCCAGGAGCCGGGACAGGGAGTCATCCGGATCTGCTAGGGTTATGAAAATGTCATCAGCGAACATAGCCAATTTAAATTCATCGGATCCCACCCGTACGCCCTTAATATGATCGTGGTTTCTGATTATGTGTGCTAGGGGTTCGAGGGAGAGTACAAACAAAAGGGGTGATAGTGGGCATCCATGCCTTGTCCCATTCGTGATATTGAATGGGCTCGAGATAAAGCCTGCGTTTGTAACTCTAGCTGAGGGTTGTTTATACAACGCCATGACTCCATTGATAAAGGATGGCGGGAAACCATATTTAAGCAATACTTGTTCCATGTAAAGCCAATTTAGTCTGTCGAAGGCCTTCTCCGCGTCTAGCGCGAGGAGAAGACCTTTCATATGATGGGTTTCCATATGAGCTAAAATATTTAGTATTTTTCTAGTGTTGTCAGACCCTTGTCTCTGCTTAACAAAACCTGATTGGTCATTATGGACAATACGCGTCAGTATTTCTTTCAGTCTCTCTGCTATCAGTTTTGCATAAATCTTGGTATCACAGTTCAAGAGGGATATGGGTCTGAAATTTGGGCATATATTGGCAGGTTTGCCTGGCTTTGGTAATGTGGAAATATGGGCCTGAAGCATCTCTTTCGGCATACAACCATTGGTGTAGCAATGATTTATAAGCTGTGTCATATGTGGGAGTAGTGCCTTTGTAAATGTTTGGTAGTACAGGTTCGTAAAACCGTCGGGACCCGGAGATTTATGTGTAGGCAATTTAGTTATCACTGCAGCCACCTCTGAGTCTGTGAATGTGCTTGTGATCTGTACTATTTCCTCGTCTGTGAGAGTAGGTAGGTTTACTTTGGATAGAAAATCCTGAATCTGGGTGGGAGTGGGGACGTGTGTACCCTCTGCCTCTTTGAGATTGTACAAAGTACCGTAGTACTTTGCAAATTCGTCTACAATATGTTGCGGGTGTAGGATTTTTTGTTTGTCAGCTGTCAGTAGGTAGGCTATTTTGGAGTTCGGTAGGCGCTCTCTAAGCTTAGCTGCAAGCACAGCGCCAGATTTGTTACCATGTGCAAAAAATTTATGTCGATGTTTGTGTAAAATGTAGTTAGTTTTCTCCGTCTCTATGTCCCTTAATTGCATTTGTAAAGTTGTAAGGGTTTTGTAGTGCGTTGGGGAAGGGTTTAGTTTGTTCGCGTGGGTTAACTCCGTTATTTGTTTTATGAGGTCAGTAAATTTAGCATTTCTTTGTTTGTTTTTATAACTAGCATGTTTAATCAGGCTTCCTCGTATCACTGTCTTATGTGTTTGCCAGTTTGTATCGATAGAGGTCTCCCCCGTGTCGTTGAGGTCAAAGAAGGTGAGAATGTCTTCTTCGATGTTTTTAACTATGTGTGGGTCACGTAGTAATGTTTCGTTGATTCTCCATGTACCCTGGCCTTTATGTGGGAAATGTTCCTGTAGCGTGAGTAGTATAGGTGCATGGTCGGACCATGTCATCGTCCCTATTTGAGCACTGCAGACCTTACGGGTCATGGCAATGGGTAATAGGAACCTGTCTATTCTGGAGTATGAGTTGTAGACCTGTGAGTGAAAGGTGAAATCTCTTTCAGATGGGTGAAATACCCTCCATATATCTAGAAGGCCTGCACCTTGTATCGTCTGCCTTATTTGTTGTGTAATATGGGTGCGTTTTCGTGAGGTTGAGCGATTTACTGTATGCGTGGAAGTTGTGTCGGCTGCGCTATCAAGTATAAAATTGGTGTCACCCCCAATGATCAAGTTGTTACAAGGGAATTTGTGGGCCAAGGATATAATTTTGGATACAAAGTCTTTTTGGTTTTCATGTGGGCCATATACATTCACTAGTGTGAATGGGTCCTCATTTATAGTGCAATGAAGTAGAAGGAACCTGCCTTCTTTGTCTCTAACTTTCCTGCAGAGTTTGAAGTTAACATCCTTATGTATCAATATAGATACGCCTCTTTTTTTTTTGGTATATCCTGCATGGAACCCTAAGGGAAATTGTTTCGAAGTGAGTTTGGGCATATTAGTGTGAAGGAAGTGGGTTTCTTGGAAAAAAGCAATTTGGGCTTTAAGTTTAGTGGCTTCGGTTAGTGCGAGTCTCCTTTTGTGAGGGGAGTTAAGACCTTTAACATTTAGTGATAATATTTTAAGAGTCATCTTTGGTGTGTCTCATAGGGTGCTAGATACACTTTGGAGCATTGTTGGAGAATGTGGAGCAATAACCTGATGGTGGCTTGTTTAAGCGGTGCCCAGGCAGTCGAAGTTCTTTCATGTCTTATTAAATTGTAGAGATTCTCAAGATCAGATTCTATGTGAATTTTTCCCTGTGGCACCGTAATGTGAATATGAATATGTCGTGCATAACTCTTATGTGTTCGATATATTCGGTTATTGTATTCTTCTTGTGCGATTAGTCTACCAACTTGAACATTCCAAGTTACTGTGAGATACCTCGAGGGAATTGGGGAAGGAAAAGAAGGGTATAGGGTAATTAAGTGCCCGAGGGCAACTATGTACAGTGTGACTTGCAGATTTGAGGTATCTGCCGTCTGGTAGAATTTCGTGGCCCTTTAGAGCCTGAATGGGGGGAGGGTAGTCATGTGCGTGTGTATTTTACCCTTCTGATTCTGGCCCGCTTTGTTCCTAAATCTGGAGCAACTGTTCTAATAATCATTATAGCATCAACAATATAAACGTAACCAAAACATACATAAATGAGACAACTAAATAAAGTAACACGATTCTCATGCATATGGACTGCCTTCAAGCAGTGAGAAATGCTCACGTGTCGTCAGGCGAAGTGTGCAAGAGTATAGTTCTGCTATGCTTAAATGGACAGGGAAATGTCCTTCACTTGTATTTGGATGCCGTAAGCCAATCTTTGGTCACCATCTTTGAAGATTGTCGGTGGGTCCCATCTTCAGCACGTCCGCCTTGTGTGGGTATAGGGAGATTCCATTCTTTAAGAAGACGTAGACCCTCAAGTTCTGTGTGAACTTGATGTTCCACTCCATTTCTCCTTATTATGAGGCGAGTGGGGTATCCCCATTTATATTGGAGCTCTGCGTTTCGTAGAGCTGTTGTGAAAGACGTGAATTCCTTGCGCTTCGCTAATGTAGCCGCTGATAGATCTGTGAAGAGCTGGATACCTGTGAATTTTTCCGGCATTTTGCTTGGGTTTCTAGCTGTTCTCATAATTTTTTCTTTGGCTGCAAAATAGTGAACCCGCGTCAGCACATCTCGTGGAGCTGTGGGAGCAAGAAATTTAGGGCGCGGAAGTCGATGTATTCTATCTAGATGTAGTTCTTCAGCCTTTAGCTCAGGACATAAAGCTTTAAATAGCTCCGTGGTATAATCTTGAAGCTCAGCGGGTTTAACGTCCTCAGGAATACCGCGCAGGCGGATATTATTTCGCCTGTCGCGGTCCTCATGATCCGCCACTTTTGCTGCAAGTGCATTCAGTCTTGCGTCGAATGAATCATATCCTGAGGCAAGATTATTGTGTGCTGCTATTATTTCGTCCGTCTTTTCTTCCAGTTGTGCAGTGCGCTCACATATCGCTTTAATATCCGTGCGGACGTCTCTGGCAAGTTTGGAAAATTCAGCTTGCAAGTTATTTTGCAGTTCTTGCATCATTCTCTGCATTGCCGTCTCTGAGGCCGGTATGGTGGGCTCTATGGATATTGAGGTGCTGTCACTCCGTTCTGAGTAGGCAGTGGGTGAGTTTGGGCCTTCGGCGCCATTTTGAGGTTTCCCTCGCGGCGGTGTAAGTGCCGCTATTTGCAGCTCCGCTGGTCGGAGTTTCGCTTTTTTCGCTGTGCGTATGGACATAGTCGGTGCAGGTCTCACCTGTGCTGGTGTGTGCAGGTTTTTTTGTCGGGTATGATAGGATAATCGCTGTTATTGTGTGCTACCCCCGTCGGAGCTGATCTCTCACGC